TGCCGCGGGGCGCGAAGGGATGCAGGAGCCGGGGCGGGGGGAGGCAGGGAGGCCACGGTCCTGGCAGGCGACCAGGTTGTCAGGGTAGGTGGTCAGGGGCTTAGCGGGAGGTGCCGTCGGGGGGACATTACTCGGCGTGATCTAGAAACTGGCCTTCTGATTTGTTCTCCTTCCCCAGGGTGCGCAGGTCCCAAACCAGCCCTCATCTCCTGGTTGGAACGAAACACTGATGACTGGGAACCGGCTGCTCTAGATCCGCAGGAGTACCCGAGAGGGCTGACAGTCCAGAGAAGTGAGTGCTAAATAACCACGCAGAGCCTGCAGCCCTCCTATAACGTTCTACCTCTAACGGCTCCGTCCAGAGTTGTGGTTTGGCTAGGGGTGGGTGCCGCGTGTTTAGTGTATTCATCTTCCTAACCTCGGCGTCTTGTGTCTGGTGGTGTGGGGCCCGTCCACCACACAGAGATTCCCATGTCAGTCTGCAAGCTGCAGTTTTCCATTGTGTGAATGAATCAGTGGGCTTCTTCGTCTTTTTTTTTTTTTTTGGAGAGACATTGTCTTGCTATGTTGCCCAGTTTGGTCTTGAACTTCTGGCCTCAAGCGATCCTCCTGTCTTGGCCTCCCAAAATGCTGGGGTTACTGGCGTGAGCCATTGCAGCCAGCCAGAATCAGTGAGCTTTTAACGGTGCTACCCTCTGCCTCCTTTCCAGGATCTCTGCCTCTAGCCACCTTTGAATTGGACCAAAGAGATCCTAAACTTCTCAGAGTTGTCTGGGTTTTGGTTGAAGGGAGCTCATGGGGAACAGCTGCCTGGGATGCAGGGTCCTCTTTCTGCTCTTACAGCAGGATGACCCTTATCAGCGAAGGAGACACTGCAGTCTCCCCAGAATCCAACAAGGCTCTGCTTAACCCCATTCAGGTAGAAGGGTCCCAGATCCACCCATAGTAGAAGATGCAGCTGTCTGGGCTGGAATTTCAGAGCCAGATTCTCCAAGACGAGGGATAGCTGTCTAAGATTCAGATCTGACCATGATATTACCTTGCTTAAAACTTTTCAGTTAATTTTTGCCAAGGTTGTCAAATGGCCATTGGTTATATCTGAGTCATTTGGGGAACTTGGTAAAAATGCAGGTTCCAGGACCCCATCCCAGAGCTATTCATTCACTCG